CTGAACGACAAAGCCCCTGATTAATTTCTTTAGGTTGTCGTTCACTTTTTTTGACCTGAATATGCACCGGAAACGAATTATTCACACTTCTCTCAATTTCTATATGGGGATTTTCATCACTTCCTACCAGCAGAACAGCGCCATCTCTGTGGAAAATGGTCGAACAAAATGATTCATTTTTGGTGATCATTTTTGCCTGTTGAATTTCTTTCGAGTACAGTCTTTACTTCACCTATTTACACCTATACTGCCGATACTTGCATAATTGTCCCATCTTTGCTTGATTTCCTATTCATATGGGACAGTTATGCTTTTATGGGCAGTATATTCGAGAGTCGTCTCTTGCACTTTCCATCAGTTGGAGATCCTTAAACTAGCTAATCGTTATGAAGTCATATGAATATTTGAATTATCTCTGATTCAGCTGACATAGTGAATAAATATGTCAGGGATTATGTGATTGAATAGATGATCAGTAGAAGGTCTTCTGAATAATTAATCAATCTGCATCCTTGTAAAACTATCCAAGGGGCTTCTCTGAAATTCTCTGAAGTTCAGTGATCGTCTCTGAATTTGCATTAACTTAAAAAAAATGAGAGCACTTTGAAGAACCGTGAACCGTGGGGAAATATCGAGAGCTTCGGAGAAGAGTTATGAATATCAGGAAAATTGCGGGAGCGTAAGGAAAGTTCTGTGAATTTTAAGGAAGTCCAGAGAACTCTAATTTATTGAGAACTTCAAGGAACGTCTGGGGAGTAAAGATAGCTTTAGGGAAGTCCCGACTATCGGGAAAGTTTAAAGATCTTCAAGAGAATATTCAGACAACTTCGTACTTTTAAGGAAAATGATGAAAACTTCATCGAAGATCTAAAGTAATTTTTAGAAGAACTTCAGAGCAGTTCTGACGAGAACTTCAGAGTAGTTTTGAGGATAAGTTCAAAGTAATTCTGATGAGAAGTTCAAGGTAGTGCTGTGGAGAACTTTAGAGTAGTTCTGAGGATAAGTTCAAAGTAAAGTCATTCTGAGAAGAACTTCAGAGTAATTCTGATGAGAATTTCAGAGTAGTTCTGAGGAGAACCTCATAGTATTTCTGTGGAGAGTTTCAGAGTAAGTCTGAGGAGAACTTCAAAGTTGTTCTTAGCAGACTTTCAGAGTAGATCTGCGGAAAACTTCAGAGTATATCTGAGGAGAGTTTCAGAGTTAGTCTGAGGAAAACTTCAAAATAGTTCTGAACAGACCTTCAGAGTAGTTCTGAGGAGAACTTCAGAGTAGTTCTGTGGAAAGTTTCAGAGTAGCTCGGAGGAAACCTTCAAAGTAGTTCTGAGGAGACCTTCAGAGTAGTTTTCAGGAGAAGTTCAAAGTAATTCTGAGGAGAGTTTTAGAGTAGTAATTCTGAAGAGAACTTCAGAGTAGTTCTGATGAGAACTTCACCGTAACTCTGTGGAAAATTTCAGAGTAGTTCTAAGGAGAACTTCAAAGTATTTCTGAGGAGAGTTTTAGAGTAAGTCTGAGGAAAACTTCAAAATAGCTCTGAGCAGACCTTCAGAATAGTTCTGAGCAGACATTCAGAGTAGTTCTGCGGAGAACTTCAGAGTAGTTCGGAGGAGACCTTCACAGTAGTTCTGAGGAGACCTTCAGAGTAGTTCTCAGGAGAAGTTCAAAGTAATGCTGAGGAGAGCTTTAGAGTAGTAATTCTGAAAAGAACTTCAAAGTAGTTCTGAGGAGAACTTCAGCATAACTCTGTGGAAAATTTCAGAGTAGTTCTAAGCAGAACTTCAAAGTATTTCTGAGGAGAGTTTCAGAGTAAGTCTGAGGAAAACTTCAAAGTAGTTCTGAGGAGACCTTCAGAGTAGTTCTGAGGAAAACTTCAGAGTAGTTCTGTGGAAAGTTTCAGAATAGTTCGGAGGAAACCTTCAAAGTAGTTCTGAGCAGACCTTCAGAGTAGTTCTCAGGAGAAGTTCAAAGTAATTCTGAGGAGAGCTTTAGAGCAGTAATTCTGAAGAGAACTTCAGAGTAGTTCTGGGGAGAAGTTCAAGGTAGTTCTGAAGAGAACTTCAAAATAGTTTTGAGCAGACCTGCAGAGTAGTTCGGAGGAGAACTTCAGAGTATTTCTGTGGAGAGTTTCAGAGTAGTTCTGAGGAAAACTTCAGAGTAGTTCTGAGGAGAACTTCAGAGTATTTCTGTGGAGGGTTTCAGAGTAAGTCTGAGGAGAACTTCAAAGTAGTTTTTGAGCAGATCTTCAGAGTAGTTCGGGGGAGAACTTCAGAGTATTTCTGTGGAGAGTTTCAGAGTAGTTCTGAGGAAAACTTCAGAGTAGTTCTGAGCAGACCTTCAGAGTAGTTCTGACGAGAACTTCAGAGTAGTTCGGAGGAGACCTTCAAAGTAGTTCTGAGGAGACCTTCAGAGTAGTTCTCAGGTTTGGAGGCGAACCAGCCCAAGGCTGAAAGCCTCCTTAATAAAGCTAAATAATAATAATAATAGTTCTCAGGAGAAGTTCAAAGTAATGCTGAGGAGAGCTTTAGAGTAGTAATTCTGAAAAGAACTTCAAAGTTGTTCTGAGGAGAACTTCAGCGTAACTCTGTGGAAAATTTCAGAGTAGTTCTAAGGAGAACTTAAAAGTATTTCTGAGGGGAGTTTCAGAGTAAGTCTGATGAGACCTTCAGAGTAGTTCTGTGGAGAGTTTCAGAGTAGTTCGGAGGAAACTTTCAAAGTAGTTCTGAGGAGACCTTCAGAGTAGTTCTCAGGAGAAGTTCAAAGTAATTCTGAGGAGAACTTTAAAATAGTTTTGAGCAGACCTTTAGATTAGTTCGGAGGAGAACTTCAGAGTATTTCTGTAGACAGTTTCAGAGTTTCTAAGGAAAACTTCAGAGTAGTTCTGAGGAGATCTTCAGAGTATTTCTGTGGAGAGTTTCAGAGTAAGTCTGAGGAGAACTTCAAAGTAGTTTTGAGCAGATCTTCAGAGTAGTTCGGGGGAGGACTTCAGAGTATTTCTGTGGAGAGTTTCAGAGTAGTTCTGAGGAAAACTTCAGAGTAGTTCTGAGCAGACCTTCAGAGTAGTTCTGAGGAGAACTTTAGAGTAGTTCGGAGGAGACCGTCAAAATAGTTCTGAGGATACCTTCAGGGTAGTTCTCAGGAAAGTTCAAAGCAGAGGAGAGCTTTAGAGTAGTAATTCTGAAGAGAACTTCAAAGTAGCTCTGAGGAGAATTTCAGCGTAATTCTGTGGAAAATTTCAGAGTAGTTCGGGGGAGAACTTCAGAGTATTTCTGTGGAGAGTTTCAGAGTAAGTCTGAGGAAAACTTCAAAGTAGTTCTGAGCAGACCTTCAGAGTAGTTCTGATGAGAACTTCAGAGTAGTTCTGTGGAGAGTTTCAGAGAAATTCGGAGGAGATCTTCAAAGTAGTTCTGAGGAGACCTTCACAGTAGTTCTCAGGAGAAGTTCAAAGTGATTCTGAAGAGAACATCAAAGTAGTTCTGAGGAGAACTTCCCAACAAACAATTTTAGCTGCAGATCAGTTTACACAGATTAAAATTAGCTGCATCATTCAATTTTCGGCTGCATAAGCTAGTCTGCAGCTAAAATTGTTAGTTGGGTTGGGCGTAATTCGGAGGAAAATTTCAGAGTGGTTCTGAGGAGAACTTCAGAATATTTCTGTGGAGAGTTTCAGAGTAAGTCTGAGGAGAACTTCAAAGTAGTTCTGAGGAGACCTTCAGAGCAGTTCTGAAAAGAAATTCAGAGTAGTTCTGTCGAGAGTTTCAGAGTAGTTCTGTTGAGAACTTCCTAGTAGTTCTGAGGAGAATTTCAGCGTAGTTTTGATGAGAAGTTCAAAGTAATTCTGAGGAGAATTTCAGAGTATTTCGGTGAAGAGTTTCGGAGTAAGTCTGAGAAGAACTTCAGAGTAGTTTTGAGCTGACCTTAAGAATAATTCTGAGCAGACGTTCAGAGTAGTTCTGAAGAGAATTTCAGAGTAGTCCTGAGGAGAACTTCAGAGTGGTTCTGAGGAGAACATCAGAGTATTTTTGTGAAGAGTTTCAGAGTAAATCTGAGAAGAACTTCAGAGTAGTTTTGAGCAGACCTTCAGAGTAGTTCCATAGAGGTAACTCTAAGACGAGAAGGTCCCGAAGAAACGAGCTCAACTTTTTGGCTCAGCTCTGGTACTATCTTCGGTCCCAAGCTAATCGATTCACCCCTCGAAACATAGGAAAATCCACTAACCCCTCATTTTATCTGTCAAACTTTCATAGCGAATCAATACAAACATAGTGTAGTACTATAATTTCGACTAGAATGGAGTACGTTAAACGATTTGCTTGGGACCAATAGGCTAGTCAAGTACTGAGCCAATTTAAAATCGTTAGTTTCCTAGCTAGTTTATTATTTCAACCACGAAATCAGCTGTCAAAGTGTTCGAGTTGACAGCGGTTTGTTATTTATTTTCAACCAGTAAAACGTATGTATTAGTGAAACTGCTCAATAATACCATAGAGGTAACTCTAAGACCAGCAGGTCCCGAAGAAACGTGCTCAACTTTTTGGCTCACCTCTGGTACTATCTTCGGTCCCAAGCTAATCGATGCACCCCTCGAAACATAGGAAAATCCACGAACCCCTCATTTTATCTGTCAAACTTTCATAGCGAATCAAAACAAACATTATGTAGTACTAGAATTTCGACTAGAATGGGATACATTAATCGTTTGCTTGGGACCAATAGGCTAGTCAAGTAGTGAGCCAATTTAAAATCGTTAGTTTCGTATTGATTGTTGATAATACTAACGGCGACAGAGAAGTCTATGGATCGGGTCCAACGACATTACTTCCCTTCCGTCGACTAATTGTTCGGCTCAAAAAATTCCAATGACATCGACTGGGATTGGACCGACACCCGCTAGGGTGAGAAAGCAGTCACGCTTTTATCGCTCACCCACCGGCACCACCTTTTTACCAAGCGAGTTACCAAGCTACTTGGAAGAATTTCGGACTTCAGAAAATGCATGGCCTACCTTTGCTTGACTACCAAGTAAGTTTTTATTATTATTTATTTTCATTTACTTTTACATCTGACAATATATCTTTTACAATTGTTTGTGTTCTCATGTTCTGCAATCTTGCAATAATCATGTCAATAATAATCATAATAATAATAGTAATAGTTGCAAGTGAGTTTGTGTGTATGTGTGTGTGGGTGTGAGTGTTTTTTCTCTCTTTTGGGTGACTGCACTAGAGTTACTGCGTTACTTTTTTCACCGCTCGAGCATGCCAATCGGGCTGCAGAATGATGTTGCGCACAGATTTGACTGTTTCAAGTTCTCATTTTCTTCTCGGTATGATAATGGTTAGTTGTTGTGGTTGTTGTTGTTGCTGTTTGCAGTTTCTATGCGCGGTGTTAACATATCATGGTCTAAATAATATTCTTCAGTTTGGTTTATCTGTATATACGTTCGATAACTCTCGATCAACGTTGTAGTAGGATTGCACGAATAAGTCAGTTTGAAACTTAATGTAGGCTTCGAGGGAAACGAAAAACGTTAGGAACTTTTACCTATTGAAGTACTAGCTTTGCGCCAACTTTACCCGTGTGCGGTCAACATCACCAACGACAGTGCCGATCGAGATCGGCATGATGATGGTAAGCTACACGTATTTTTTAGTATTATTAAAAATTGAAAATGGTCAAACTGTCCAAACTTCAGAACCAACATTCGAAGTGACATATTTTCGCTCTAACTGATCGTTAACGTCGGACGCAGGTTGTGACAGTTCTGACAGTTCGGTCTAACGCAAGCTAACGAAAACATGAACAAAACGGAAAAGTAACAACGGAGGACAAAACATAGTAGGCTTGCCATCTCTCAGCAGAAGCCATTCAGGAACTTTGTAGTAGTTTTGGTAGTAGTAAATCTATGAATGCGAATTGTTGTTGTTTTTGTTTTACTTTCGTTTTATTCTGCGTGGTGTAAGAGAACAACTAGATTTAGGAAACAAAACCGTATCGTATTTTATTTTTGTGGGCGCTTCTTTCGCCGTTTCTCAACCGTGAATGGTTTGACTGTTTGCTTTTGGGTTGTATTTGAAGGGAAGGGGGACATCTGGTGGACACTAGCGGAAACATCGATTAGATATATGAATATACCACTTTGGTGCTTCTTCGATTCTATGTTAAGTAGTAGTTGTAGTATTTCTTTTTTTCTCAAGTAAGTAGCTGTTATGAGTGACTTTAAAAATGTAGTTTTCTCCTTTGCTCGCACGTCGGGGGTGCAATCGTGTGTCATTCTAAAAAATTTTGCGAGGACAAAATTAAACATTCATGATATGTCGAGTCTTTTCGTTTTTTCTCTCATTTCTCCGCTCAATAAGTTAAGGTTTTTTTTATGTAGGAACGAAATTTGCTTTGGATCTGCTCATGTTTCACTCTCAAATAAGTTTTCTTTTATTTTGAATTTCTCTAAACTCTATTATTGTTGTTCACGCGAGTACTTTGTTCTTCTTCTTTTTTTTATTTAGCGAGATAGTCCAAAAAGGAACGAACCCAACAGTAAAGTGTTGCCAAATTGGTGAGATTCGGGTGAGATGATTGTTTTGATTAGAGTACGACTTTTGGGATCATTTCTGGTAAACTTTTGTAAATTATAACGGAACTCTTTAAAGGAGGCGAAATTCAAATTCAAAACTGTTCTGGAACGGTTTTGGAGGAACAATTTCTGCGAGACACGAGCACGATTGATGCCATTCTTATTTTTTCCTCTACTGGTTCGATTCTAAAACACTAAGATTAATAGTTTGGTCACCCCCTTGCCTCAAGCTGCTCCGGCAGGTGACCATTTAGGAACTTTTATTTTTTATCATACACTTTCTTATGCTCGACTATGAATATCAATGCTAGTTGAATATCAATGAGTGGAAAAACTTGAAACCCCTTCCCTGTCGACTGCAGGAAAGGAGTTTGAGTTTTACCGAAATCAATGGATCGACTCTTTCATCGGTTGATACCTCGCAATTTCATCACTACCGCCTTCTCGTATAAACATTGCACGTTGAAAAGTACACTAAGCTGAACTAAATTGGTTAACTTCCATCTATGCACTCTGTTTTTTTGTTCTGTTTTTCTTTTTAATATTTTTTTGTTTTTTTTTGTTTTAATATCATTTTTATTTAAAATAAAGCTTTAAGCCAACTACATTAAGTATCATCAGTTAATACTAGGTGTTACTTTTTTTCACTGTTAATATCAATAGGATTACGCTTTCTACAACTTGGCATCAATGCGAGAAATTCTAGGATCTACTTCCAGCTCTGTTTGAAATTTGAATTCCTTCCCCACAAGTCCCTTCAACAGTACGGAAACCTATAAAAAAATTACACTTTGCCCTTGCAATTCGCTTGAATCCTCATATTCTACGTGTAAAAAAACGATAGCATTTTTACCCACTTTTACTCAAAATACAGTTATTTTGGTTATCTTCCTTCCAGTTATACAATGTTTACCTTCAAATCGATAAATTTTACAAGTACAATAATCGTTTCGCATCATAATCGGAAGTTCCCCGTACCCTCCCTCATTCAGCACACACACAGTCCGGTCTCGTTAGTGGGAGCAAGCGAGGTGCAAAACCGATGCGCCCTTTGGATTTCAAGCTCTTCCTCTCCACCTCCTGCTACCTTGCCTCTACCAAACCCTTCGCAGCCTCTCATCAGTTCCCCTCCCTATTGGATGCCACCGAGCTCCGAATGCATAACAGTGACGGCGATTCTCCGTTGAATGCCGCTGCAAAGGAACTCGCCGTGCGCACGCCAACAGTGGGAACAGTGTTGCCAAGTTCGGGTCAGATTAAAAACAATGGAAGCAGTCGCTTGGGAAGGAAAATGCCATCAACCCTCGGGTGCGGCATATCAGTCTCTTAAACTTTACAGTGTTTCACTACCCAACAGGGCCGAGGTGGCCGGAAGCAAGCCTGTGTGTGTATGTGTGGGTGTCTGTATGTAACGAGCACGGAGCGGAAACTTCCCGCCATTCAGTAGGTTTATTTTAATTTTATTTTCTTCATTTTAGCGACCTAAGATTACAGTTACCATTAGTACACTCTCGTTTATAACGTATATTTTTATCTATGTTTTAGAGTAGGAACTTAATTGTTGCATTTTTCTTCTTCTTCTTCTTCTTCACCGTTTTTTTTTTAATTTTCATGTTCTCGCTTCAGTGTTTGCCTCTTGTTGCAAGCTTCTTCGTATTTGCGTCTTTTACAAATTGTTTGATTTTAAGTCCTTCCTTTCGTTTGATCCGTGCCTTCTTCAATTGACGACGAGGACTCCTACTTCCGTGGCTGATGGTGGTTTGTGCGAGTAGGAGTGCTGTCAGCGGTGGAGAGATGATCGGTCCGAATGATTGCTTCATTGTTGCTGCTAGCTTGTGGTAAGTAGTCGTGTCAAATCTAAAATTAGAGAAAATCGTGCTTTAGATATACCCATAATTAAATATACTAAATATACTTAAATATTAAATTAAATCATTTTCAATTTTGTGCGAAACATGTTTAGAAGATCTAACTTGATGCAATTATTGGGGTGCAAGACTGTTTCGAAAATATCTGGTACTATAGAGGTAGAGCAACAATAGCTGCAATTTCCAAACCTTATCGGATGCTTACGTCAGCTGGTGACTAGAGTGTGAAACAATCGATAGAACTGTTTACGCACAGCGAAGGTACGCGAGCAAATCGGCGATCATCCCTTTTGCCAGTGGTGGTGGGGGCAGGAACACCCCTCACCTACCCTCATCAACGGATGAGTTTGGAAAAGAGGATGCTCGATTCGTACCTTCCTCAAAATTGTCGTTTGCTCGCTTTCTACTTTCTATGTACAATTTTCACACTGCCCGTACTATATCGGAACTATCAACTCTATACTTTAATCTCCTAATCTATCGTATAAAATGTCCACCTTAAGTCTGATATTTGACGTTAATCATCTCCAGCTATGTAAGGTATTGGAATTTTGAACAATTTTTTTTGACGTAGGACTACGCCTGTGATTTCTATATGGGGGTACACTTTGTGAAAACCAAAAATGGAACATGTAACAAAATTATGAAAGATTTTGAACGTTAATAACTCAGCTGCCCCTGGACCAACTTCAAAAGTTTTATCACCAATCGATCAGAAATATTTCGATGCATCTGTTAAGATTAAGACTTCATCATTTTTCAAATTGTCGCTATTGAAAATTGCACGAATGAAAATTATCACCGATTGCCTACGAAAAGCGATTTCCCTAACACAGATTTCAAAGTTGAATTCAATCCGGTCTCACCAAACGGTGTTTATTCAATCTCCGCGTGGTGAGTGGTGGTGTTCTCTACACAACAAAAGGCTGCCTGCAAGTAGCGAGCTGCAGCCGACATGAGCGCCCATAGAAGGAGGAGGAAACCGTACCGCTATTGATCGGAATCAGTAGCTCTTCGTAAGTCGCTGTGGGCCATCTATGTCAAGCGCGTCATAGTAAAGAGTACAAACAGAGAGAACTCCGCTTAAATTCCAATTCCTACGCAAAACACAAGCTCCTGCTGCAGTTAACAAATAAGATTTATTATATAAGTCCACGTAGTCCTACGTCACCATTGCGTACAACCCCATAGGGATGTCCCTTGTTGTTTTTCTTGTCGTTTGCTCTTGTGGATGTCCTCAGGCTGTAATAAATAATTCAATCCTGATCATTTTTAGAGCACAAATACTCATAGTGATGCCACCGAAAAAAGTTAAAGCCCCGGTAAACAAGCTCCCTCATCTGTCAAAATTGTGTTTTTCCACCCTAAGGATTTTTTTTGAGGTAAATGCGAGCTTCGTCACTTGTTGAGTACGGTGCTGCCTATAGGTATCAAAATTGTCCCTATCCATCATACATCATCCAATCCATAATATATACCATTGGCTATTATCCCTATCCTTATCCGGATAATTTTAAAACGGATAATATCCCAGTTAAAATTATCCGGATTGAATCCGTTTTTAAAATTATCCGGTTATAAAACAGTGGATAGGGATAGTATCCATTATTTTCAATATGGGAAATACTGTCAAATACCCATCAATAGGGTATTATTGGAATCGGGATGATGTCTAGAGGCTGAAAATTAAATCCGACGCCATTTTGAAATCCAATATGGCGGCTCCCGATTTCAGAAAAAAAAAGTCTGAAATAATGTCAAATACCCATCAATATGGGTATTTTTGGAATCAGGATGATGTCTGGAGGTCAGAAATCGATGACCAGTTCCGATGCGGATCTCGATTTAAGAAAAAGTGGGAAATACTGTCAAATACCCATCAGCATGGATATTTTTGGAATCGCGGTGACGTCTAGAGATCAGAAACCGGTTTAAGAAAAGTAGGAAACACTGTCAAATATTGATGGTATTTTTGGAATCGGGATGACGTCTAGAGAATAAAAATCGATATCTGACGCCATTTTGATATCCAAGATGGCAGCCATTGAGGAAAAATGGGACAGACTTTCAAATGGGACATACTGTCAAATACGAAATACAGAAATCGATATCGGACGCAATATCGAAGTGTCAAATACCCTCCAATATAGGTATTTTCGGAACGTTGACGACGAGTAGATGCCAACAATCGATTTCCGACGCCATTTTGGAATCCAAGATGGCTGCCATCGGGTTTCATAAAAAATGTCAAATACCCTACAACATGGGTATTGTCGGAACGGGGACGACGCGTAGATGCTGAAAATCGTTATTGGACGCCTATGTGATGGGTATTTGACGGTATATCCCACTTTTCTGAAACCGGAAGTCGCCAGCTTGGATTTGAAAATGGCGTCGAAAATCGATTTTCAATCTCTAGACGTTACTCTTATATTAAAAATACCCATGTTGATTGGTATTCTTAAATTGGGAGCCACCATCTTCAATTTAAAAATGGGGTCGGATATCGATTTCCGGCTTCCGGATGTTACCCCAATTCCACAAAATACACATATTGATGGGTATTTGACAGTATTTCCCACTTTTCTGAAATTGGAAGTCGCCAGCTTGGATTTGAAAATGGCGTCGAAAATCGATTTTCAGTCCTTAACCCTCCGTTACTCGCGCTGTTGTACTTTGTAAAACACACATGAGTTTTCCATTGCCATTTTGTTGCTGAGTAACCAATTGATCTGAAATCAACGAGTATTCTTCAAAAAACTTGTTTTGATCTAAACAAGCTAAACTTTGATTACAGTAAACACCTTAAAAATGCGGATAATTGGGAAAATGTAAATGGAAACCGCGTAAACTGTGGCCATACTACGTGGGATTTGACTTCATTGATTACAACATGGAATGTATCGAGATCCTGACCAGATAGAAAGTTACTGTCTCCGACAAAGTTGTTCAGAAGCTCATAGCCTTGTCGCTGGTGGACAGTAGTTCAGAATTTTCTCACTACGTAGCGCTACTGTATGCATGTGAAATTCTCGCATGTGATATATCTCGAGATCCTGACCTGATAGAAAGTAAATGTATTCGGCAAAGTTTTTCAGGAAGTCAAGATCTTTTTGGTGGGTGACAATAGTTCAGAATTTTCTCACTATGCATCGTTAGAATATACGTGCCTTTCTTGCATATTCAATAGCTCGAGATCTTGATCAGTTAGAAAGTTGCTGTCTTCGGCAAAGTTGATTAGGGGGTCAAGAATTTTTGCCTGGTAAACAGTAGTTAAGAATTTTCTCACCACGTGGCGTTAGTATACATGTACACTTCTCGCAAATGCTATATCTTAAGATCCTGATTAGATAGAAAGTTACTGTCTACGACCAAGTTGTTCAGGAGGTCAAGGTCTTTTGGCTGGTGGACAGTAGTTTCAGAATTTTCTCACTTCATGTTGCTAGCATTAATGTGAAATTCTCGCATATAAAATATCTCAAGTTCTTGACCAGACAGAAAATTACTGTTGTCGGCAAGGTGTCAGGAGGTTAAAGCCTATTTTTGGTGCAAAATGTTTCAGAATTTCTCACTACGCGGTGCTAGTATACAAGTGAAATTTTCACGTATAAAATATCTCGAGATCCTGACCAAAGAGAAAGTTACTGTCTTCGGCAAAGTTGTTCAGGAGTTCAAGGTCTTTTGGCTGGTCAACAGTAGTTCAGAATTTTCTCACTGCGCTGCGCTAGTATACACGTGTAATCTTCATATATTCTACAGCTCGAGATCCCAAACAGCTAGAAAATTACTGTCTTCGGCAAAGTTGTTTAGGAGATCAAATTTTTTTTGCTGGTGAACAGTAAATAGTTCAGAATATTTTCAGTATGTGGCACTAGTGTGCATGTAAAATATTTGTATATGCTATAGCTTAAGGTCAGGAACTAACTGTCATCGTCATAGTTGTACATTCGGCAAAGTTCTTCTGGATGGTGAACATGCAAAAGCGTTTTATTCAAACCTCTCTAATTTTACGTCCAATTTTTGATCTTCTCAGGTAATGTGAATGGTATGAATGGAATAGTATAAGGGTTATACTGCTACTTTTAGTTTCAATTTTTTTTCCAAGTCAATTCTGAGAAAATCAATCATGATTCTTCAGAGCAAATTTTGAAAAATAGTGTAACTTTGGGTGAACCTTTGGTATACAAAATTTGAAAATGATATTGAACAATGTGCCTCTTCGTATTTCCATTCAAAATCTTTAAAATGTTCTGAAAAGAACGAAAACTGGACATTTTTAGGGCGTGTCTTAAACTTATGATCGGGAGTGTACGGTTTTATAAATTTCTCCATTCAATTGAGCAAAAGTGCCTCACTCTATGAGCTAGTCTCGTTGTCCGTGCACACGTAAATACAGGGATTTTTTTGTTCTAGACCCCTCGATAAGACATTTTGAAATTAGCCTTAAATGAAAGGGAGACTCTAAACATTCATTTGATGGAAGCTTCAGCGATATTGATCTTTTAAGATAATGTTTTCCAGCTGAGATACGTGTTATTTACCACTAATTTATCAGAGGTATACAAGTGGAACGACTCAACCCAATTTATGTATCAACAAATCTGCATGAAAATCTTCACCAGTAAAATAAATCCAGAATATATTTGTCTTATCCCACTAAGACTGATGTTAATTGTATTTTTATTTTATGATATTTGATATGCGAGAGTTTCCCGCCAAGTTTTGAGAAATTTCTGTCATAAGCCAAAAGATCTTTATCTCCTTAACAGCTTTGCCAGATTTCACGTATGTCCTAGCGCCGCGTAGTGAGAAAATTCTGTACTGTCGACCAAGGAAAAAGTTTTGATCTCCTGGACAACTTTGCCGATGACAGTTTAGCAGGTCTCGAAATATATCTAATGCGAGAATTAGATAGCGCAAAGATGTGAAAAAAAATGAATTTATGTCCATCAGCCAAAAGGCCTTAGCTCCCTGAACAAGTTTGCCGAA